AAAAGGCAATATCTACAGTTCCAGCATTTATTGGTATCTTAAGTATACTCTTCAGCTTTGAATGCTTTAACACTCCAACCCACATATTTCAATACACTTATTAAATTGCTTCAGAAGAAAAAAATCTTACAAAATGTATCTATATATCTGCTAATTAACCTATATAATATAAAGGGAGGAAAATATGGAGTAAATAGATTATCCTGATTTGTTTAATCAGTAGGTGGTGCTTTTATGTTCTGTATCAGTTTTATATGTGCATTTAAAATAAAGCTTGATCAGCAGAAAATTGTGTTTCACTGTACCTTTTCATAAAGCCGAAAGTACATCTGTTAATTGTTGGTGCTGTAATATAGCGTACTGCATATGCTCTGGTTAAGCCCAGTTATAGCTTTTGTGGGGGACATTATTATTTATTTTAAAAATGTCCACCTTTTATTAATCAGAGTACTTAAAGATTTTACATCTCTTTCAGTATTTTAATATGTGTCATATAGATGTCAACTGTATTTGGATTCTTGCCTGGACATTTTGTCATCTTTCACTGAAGTTTATGCTTAATTCCCCCCCTTCGTCTTTTTGTTGCTGTTTACCTTTTGAAATTGTTTTGTTGCTTTTCTTAGTTTCTTTTTATAATTTAAGCACAATAAAATACATTTTAAAAAGATGACAATTTAAAGACATTATTTCATGAGCATGCACTTTTCCTCTTTCATGTGTTTGAAACTGAGGCCTCCCAAGAATGTGCTGTGACAGAACTGATACATTTCTTCCCAAATTGACTTTCATACTTCTGCTGCAGTTCAGACTTTAGCATAAGTTAGATGAAACAATTCACAAGATTTAAAAGTAATGCGAAATGAATTATTTGGCTGTCTGGGTTCATTTGTTAGGTTTTATTACCTGTCCTTTTTTTCCTTTAATGAAAACATATGTAGCATAAAATCTTGAGATAGAAATGAGAAAATAGCCCTCAACTTGTATATCTTCTCAAAAATATTTCTACCTGATAAGCAGTTGGACTTTTCAACACAATGGAAGGTAAGAAGTGCTACATCTTAACCAATATGACTTTGGTTCAGATCTCCCCTCAACCGTGAAATTAATCTCCTGGGATACAAAACATGTTGGGAGGATGGTATTCTACTTGTGCATAGCTCTGTCTTAGGAAAGTAGTGGGGGTACAGTGGGCTGTGTCCATTTTGTGCACCAGTGTTTCAATATAGCACATTATTTTTCTGTATATTTAAAAATACAAATTAAATAAGGAAAACAACAAATACACATTCCAAAAGAGGAAAAAACATAAGGTAAAATATCTCTCTGCCCAAAGATCAAGGCAACAAATAATGCAGAAATCTGTGTCTTTCTGATGTGTGTAACATAGGCGTAGAGTTTTGTATCTGTCTTGTTGTTTCGTCGTTACGTCATGTCCGACTCTTCGTGATCCCATGGACCAGAGCACGCCAGGCCCTACTGTCTTCCACTACCTCCTGGAGTTGGGTCAAATTCATGTTGGTAGCTTCAATGACATTGTTCAACCGCCTCATTCTCTGTCGTCCCCTTCTCCTCTTGACCTCACACTTTCCCAACATCAGGGTCTTTTTCGGGGAGTCTTCTCATGAGATGGCCAAAGTATTGGAGCCTCAGCTTCAGGATCTGTCCTTCCAGTGAGCACTCAGGTTTGATTTCCTTCAGAATGGATAGGTATGTTCTCCTTGCAGTCCAGGGGCTCTCAAGAGTCACCTCCAGCACCACAATTCAAAAGCATCAGTTCTTCGGTGGTCAGCCTTCTTTAGGGTCCAGCTGTCATTTCCATACATCACTACTGGAAAAACCATAGCTTTGACTATGCAGACCTTTGTCAGCAAGGTGATGTCTCTGCTTTTTAAGATGCTGTCTAGGTTTGTCATCGCTTTCTTCCCAAGAATCAGGTGTTTTAATTTTGTGGCTGCTGTCACCATCTGCAATGATCATGGAGTCCAAGAAAGTAAAATCTATCACTGCCTCCATATCTTCCCCTTCTATTTGCCAGGAGGTGATGGGATCAGTGGCCATGGTCTTCATTTTTTAATGTTGAGCTTCAGACCATTTTTTGCGCCCTCCTCTTTCACCCTCATTAAAAAGTTCTTTAATTCCTCCTCACTTTCTTCCATCAGAGTTGTATCATCTGCATATTGGAGGTTGTTGATATTTCTTTTAGCAATCTTAATTCCAGTTTGGGATTCCTCCAGTCCAGCCTTCCGCATATTCTTTTCCCAGTTTTGAACCAATCAGTTGTTCCATATACAGTTCTAACTGTTGCTTCCTGTTTCACATATAAATTTCTCAGGAGTCTGCTTAGTTTTATCTAATTTTAAAGCTTAGAGTGTGAAGCTAACTGGGCAAGATAGCTGAGGCCTGGCGATCAGCCACTGAACCAACTGATGCCACACTGTATCAAAACCCTTCCCAATCGAGGGAAGTTGGAGATTATTTAGAACAGGGGTCTCCAAACTTTTCATTATGGGGGCCACATCATATTTTTTACATATTTTCAAGGGCCGAAGGAAGGATGGGGAATTCAAGTGATCCCTCACCCCTAATGCCTTTGCAAAGACAGTGAGGGTGGGGGAATTGCTTAGATCAGGCTTTGTTCCTCTTTCTATCCCTGCTGGTGCATAGGAAGAGAAACCAATCCTGACAGAAGTGATCCCCCACCCCTGCTGTCTTTGCAAAAGGCATCAGGGGTGGGGGATCACTTGAATTCCCCTTTCCTTTCTCTTTAGATGCCTGGGCCAGATAAAAAGGCAAGGTAGGCCAGATGTGGCTCATGAGCCATAGTTTGGAGACCCCTGATTTAGAACAATGCCGACCCCAGCATAACTGTATGCAGGCATAGTGACTGGGAGTCTGGGCTGAGAAGATATTTAAGCTGGTGTAACTCACCTCCTTCCCCATTCCTTCCCTTCTCTGCCTTGCTTTAACTCTTATGCCAGGTGATCTCAACCGACACAGTAGTTGTGCTGTCAGATCCAGTTGGCCAACAGATCTGAAACCAACTGAAAAAAGGGCAGTTAGGCCAGCACAAAAGGCTTCTGCCAATTCGAAACCCATTACAACTGACAGATCTTAGTGTCTGACATAGTATCTTTACTGTTAGTTTCCCAAAATATAATGGTGGTCCTCAATACGATTCAAAGAATTTTGTCTTCCCTGTTGAATTTACATTTGTTTATTCATGATAAAGCTAACATTTTAAAAATTCCAGGCTACTCCTTTAGCCAGTTCAGAATTCATTCATTTTGGGATAGAGACAATATAACTGACTGTCATGATGTTATGAATTTGTTATTCACAAAAGCAATTAATTGCTACTTTCTTTTACACAATATAATTTTTAGGTCAAAACTCAACTTGGGCATCTTTGTTCATTAGAATGTATCATATTCTGAATGTATACTCTTAGAACAAGTCCAAAACAGGCAGGACAGGCATCCAGTGAAAAAGCAGCACACTTTTTTTTGCAAAAAATTGAGAAGTGGTGGTAAAACACAGAAAGGTTGGAAATGGAAATCATAATTCTTTGGATACTCATAAAGTTGTGGGAACTGAAGCAGGGCAACTGCGGCATCAATGCTATAGTCTGGGAGTATCTCTCACATTAAGTTGAAATAGGAGAGAATGGAATTGAGTATCTTGGAGATGGTTGGATGCCATTTGTTGCAGGGTTGCATCATTTTGTTATATGTCCAGTTTGTGGACACTAATTCAAGGTAAAGACTGATCATATGGTGTTGAAAAGTTTTGAAGAAAAATGCAAAGGAAAGCTATGGTAACTGAACATGTTGGCAGTATCAGTGTATTATCGGACAAATTTCTGTGCATTTTGAATAAGCACAGAAATGTAATTTGGAATCATCCCAGATAAATGCAGAATACAGCACAGCAGCAATTCCAACATCAGCCTCTTATCTCTAATTATTATGTATTGTGAAATAGATGAAGTATTGAAATGGCTTCCCTTGTGATTCCATTTTGCAGGTGTTGATAAAAGCTTTGAGTTTCCTTGAAGCATTTGTTTCATGTAATTTTGCTTTATTGTTAAAGCAGCTGTCATCCTCTGCATACTCATTTTCCTATTCATTTGATGAAGGTGACAAAGTTTAATTTTGCAGTCAAAAATTCCTTATTTTGAAGACATTTGTATTCATATGAGATAACGTAAAAGAACTGTGAGCTTTTGTGGACAAGTCCACTTCTTGCCTGAAGCCTTCTCATTGGAGGTGTAAATCAGTTTTCTGGGTGTGGGTAGCCTCAGTACTGTATGTTCTCCTTGTTCTTCATGGGAGAAATATAGTTTTGTTCCAAGCCTGTTGATCTTCTTTTGTTTCAGGCCCATTTGTTTTCTACTTGATGTTCACTGGATGCCTGTCCTGCCTAGCTAGAGCAACTGTGAGAATAGAATTTTTCCTGGATTCTGATATTAAAATAGGTTCAGTTGATCAGACTTGGCTGCCTGCCAGCTGAGCTCCTGAAATTTGATAAGGAAAAGTGTAAGGATCTAACAAGAAGGTTTGCATGTTGTTTTACTTTCCATTCATGTGTGAATTACATCCAAAGTACAAAATCATTGTGTCCAATGATAATGGGATTACAGCTATAAGAGGAAAGATGGACCTTTATTTAAGTGGCTAATTTAGATAGTCATCACTTGATTTCATTCTTAAGGTCCATTTTTAAAGAGGATGTTAAAATAACATATATTGACATTATCATGCAGGAAAGTTTTCACCCACGTATATTTGGGATGTCAGTGTTTCATAGTTTTCCCTGAATTCTATTAATCATGTTTTTTTACAGTTTGAAAAAAAAGGAAACCAGACATGATAGAGTTTTAAAATTTGATGTCTGACCTATTGCTTTTCTTAGTTTTCAATACTTTTATACACAGACTTATAGGTATAATTTTTTTTACACTATTAAATTATAATACAGTGTTCTTTTTATTTGTCATATAGCATTATGCCAGTATATACAGGCCTCTAAGGCCCAAGATGGTGGTGGCCGTTTCATTTCAAGTTCAGCAGAAGGTAAAATAAAAACAGGGCAAAAATAATCAAATATTTTCTAGTGTTTCTGTCCCTTGACCGTTTTATGCCTTCTAGATTTCCTTTCACAGCTATAGACAGTAACAATAATGGATTCCAGGCTTAAATAAAAAGTGAAGGTGTTGTGCACATCTAAACTTTTTTGCTTCACTTTTGCATCCATTGTCTGTGTGTGCATTTCTCAGATTACTTTTAAATTGAGCTTAATTTTTGCAAACATGTACTTATCTCACACATTTCTGAAATAAATGAAGGAAATAAATTATTGGTACTTGTTTAAGGAAAGGCACAGACGGATAATTGTATGCAGAGTACTACCACTGCTTTAACTCAATCAATTTACTCTCTTTTGCTAATCACTACTTTATATCTCCTGCTTCTTTTAAAGGAAATATCTGCACTTAATCCTATTAACTTTTTAATGATATGTTTCTACACACAAAGTTAGGGTTAAAATGTTGTGGTTAACTTTGTTTTTTGCTAATTTTTCAGGTGAAAATTTTGAACAAACTCCGTTAAGGCGCACATTCAAATCCAAAGTTCTTGCTCATTATCCTGAAAATGTTGAATGGAATCCTTTTGATCAGGATGCAGTGGGAATGGTTAGTATCATGTTGCATTCTTATTTTTCATTGCTGCTCTTGTACTCTGATAGCCTGACACAGGCTATAATACATTCGTTTGTTTTGTGGATCTTGTTGAGAGAGTAACACATTATCCAAGAAGGGCATATACACACGTTATACTGGCACAAACAGACAGAGAGACCCAAGAAGTTAAAGAAGCAGGGTTCATGTTTTTCATACCAGTATTATTATCAGACCTCTGTTACCTATGCCTACCAGGAAATAAAATGTGAAGTGAAGCTAAGAAGTTATAGGGAAATGAAGTGTGAGGTGGAGAAGCAAGCCATGTTCTCTGAATCCAAAAGCCCCTTTACTTTTAAAAGCTGTATGATCTGTGCTTAAGTGGATAAGTGGGTATATTGCTGTTTGTACCACAGTGACAGTATTGCCCAAAATCCAGTTTTATGTTGGTAAAATTCCATAATCTTAAATCTTAACTATGAATTACCACAAATTAAGAAGTTAGTTTGGGCATTTGGTGTTTTACAGCAGTTGCATGATTTAATGCAAGACAGCACTTACAGGAAGTGACTATGCTGACTTCTTAACCTGTAGTAGTTTGCATTTGAAATTTGTATCAGTAGCCTTATGTGAGCATGAGTTTTCAGTTGGATTTTGGCCAATGTTTCCTAGCTGTTGCTGTGCCATCAACTGCAATATATCAGTGTATGTTATAGCTGCTTCACAAGATTTCCATCCAGGTGTGAATTATTTGAGCCTGGAGCTTGAATAACCTCGAATTAGATGAAATAGTAGAAGTTTGTTCAGTATATCGACATCCATATTTTTAAAAGTGAAAGGGGATTATGAATTTAGAGAGCACAGCATCTCTCCTACCTTTGTAATTTGTGCCCCTGTTTGCTTTTTTCTTTAGGACAATCTGAGTTTGGAAGTGTGATTGACTACTTAAGGGCAGGTCTGCAGAGAAATTTACCTGTGTTTGAGGGAGGAGTTACCTCTTCTCATTTCTATAACCATGTTTGTGTTAATGTGAGCTCCTGTCTAATGCTACATGAATGAGGCAGACCTTCGTTTAAATACATATCAGTTTAAATCTACATGTTCATAGTAGTAGTCTGTAGGAAAACCATAAATATACTGTTACAGAATCTCATTTCTTGCTCATAATGTTTGCTTGCAGATGTCTTAACTAAGACAGACAACATTGTTTTTCTTAGTCTTTTCAAAGTCAGATTGCAGAGAAAAATATTCTAAAAATCAATATATTTTAGTATAAACTCTGCAAATGGGATTTTTCAAAAGGTTTATTACTTTTTATTAGGATTTGAATGTGATGAAATTATGAAAGTTGGAAGAAAATGTTTATATTATGCAGTCTTATTAATATGTGCTAATCTCTGTAGATGTCATTAAGTTCAGTGGAGCTTAAACCCAGGTAGGCAGAGACTTCCGGCTTGATGCTGCGACGAGACAGCAGCAGGACGGAGCTCCGTCCCCTGGGTTGAATTCTGACTTGTTTGGGATCTCACAGGGGGTTAAAATCACCCCAAAGAGGTGGCGAAATGGGGGAGAAGTCTGTTGATCCTGGGGGGAATGGCGGTTACCCACGTTTGATCTGGGAAACTTCCCAATCAACTAGCGGGTAGAAACAAGCAGCTGAATTAACTTGCTTGCAAGTTGTCCACAGCCAGTAATGGAGAAGCAATAAATCAGCTAATTAACATTGTGTTACCACTGGGCGAAAAATATTTTTTAACTGTAGTGCTTTATGACTATCCCTGGATGAGACATTCCCTACAACAGAAAGTGTCTTCTATCCCCCACCACCTGGAGTGCTCTGGTCCATGGGGTCACGAAGAGTCGGACACATGAAACAACGATCCCCCACCACTGATCGAGCAGTGCTGAATCTGGAGAGAGGAAAGAGACGCAGAGACACAAAGAAAATAAATGGGACATTAATTAGACATTTAATTATACTTTAAGGAAGGAAGTTTGGTATTACTTTATCATTAGAAACTTAAGAATTCTTCTCTTACCACCATCATTAGCAAAATATGTTACTTGTAACATCTATCTAAGGTGCTGGCAAAAAGCCTAGCATCAATAACCTTGAACACTTTATGGCCATTTTGAATTCCCTTTCTTTTTGAGGACTGAATTGAAATACAAACAAATTAACCCTAGAAAGCCTAATCCAGCCAAAGTAGAACTTTTAAACTGTATCCTGGGTTTCGAATTTGACTTGGAGCACAGGATCAATACTGGAATGGATTGCCTCTGGGGCTGGATTACAAAAAGACATCAGGCCATGAACACAAATGCTGAGTGAACTATTTGGTCAGCAAGTGTCCTTGAGCCTTTAGGCAGGGAAAACCCTCTACATCTGAGACAGGATTCAAATTTAACCCTAAAGATGGACTATCTATTAAAGTGGACCTAAATAAGAACTATTTGGTGAGCAGGTGTCCTTGAGCCTTTAGGCAGGGAAAACCCTCTAAATCTGAGACAGGATTCAAGTTTAACCCTAAAGATGGACAATCTATTAAAGTGGACCTGTGGAAGCAAGTATTGATGGAATTGAACTGGTTACTTTCAGCCTCTGGACAACTTTCACTTGGAATACAATTATTTGACATCTGGGACATAATGCCACAACAAGGAAAAATTTGGGATGAAACAAAATCTACCATTCAAGCAATTTTAGAAATAGTGAGATCCCATGACAAAGAGGCAAAATTATTCAAGGAGTAGTTAAATAAGAACTATAGTCAACAGGAGGCAGGGAATAATGAACAAGGAAATGAGAGGGTGGTGGATGATGTATGCCAATCAGAGGAGTGGATAGAGGAAATTAGAGGAGAAAACATAGGAGATCTAATTCTAACCCTGGAACCGAGAAGAATTTTAGGTGTGGTGAGGGAAGATAAGGGGAGAGAACCAGCAGATCTAATTAAAAAGAGCCTGGAAGATCTATTGGAGATAGATCAAGTGTATAAAATGTTCTCAGATGGTACAAGGGACAGGAGAATTTTTAGAGAGATAGAAACAAGGGTAGCAAAAAGACAAATAAGAGAAGGTGTTACTTAGAAAGATGAAAAGGGAAAATTTTTTAAGGTGGCCTTCAACGTTAAAAGCATGTATATACCTAGCTTCTGTATATACCTAGCCAATATTGTATTCTAAAATACACACATGAATGGTTTTATTGTTTAAAAAATATATAGATTTTGAAAGGACAACTAAGAAGACACCAAGACGCAAAAAAATTTAAAATAATAATAATTATAAGCAACCCATGTAACACGATGTTTAACAAGCACAAATTGAATGTAGATAGATTGGAAAACTACTAAAATGTTTAAAATCAAACCCAGGCAGAGCACTGTAGCCACATATTTAAATGTGCACTTCTACTCATGGAACATGCCTTTACATAGCAGACACCTCTACTAATAAAAGGACAAGGCAATTTCAGCAGATACCCTGGTGTTCCATCTAAAACTGCTATAGAAGATTAGGGAATACTCAACTCCCAAACAAACTGCACCAGAGCCCAGAGTGCTGTCCTCTGAAGATGCCGGCCACAGAGACTGGCGAAACGTTAGGAAGAACAACCTTCAGAACATATCCTAAGAGCCCGGAAAACCCACAACAACCATTAGATTAGGGAATCTTCCAAAATAGTATGAAAGTTGACATGGATGGAAGAAATATCCAGACAACAGTGCCTTAATTTATACTTAGTTAGAACATAAGAGACATTTGATAGTTGAAGCACCTGTGTATTAGAGATGTGCAAGAGAATAGTACAGTAACTAATAGTAAATTTTTGCTTAATTTTGTAAAATGTAAAAAATTGCATCATTTGGTTTGTGACCAGATTTTGTGCAGCTGCTATAGCTTGCTATAATTCTCTGGTAACACAGTTTTTTCCCTTCATTTTTTGGATTCTTGTGGCAAAGATTTTATATGTCATATGGATGCAGTGCTTGGCATAGTGTATGTTGCACATTTCTAATGTTTTCTGTTCTGTATTGTATTATTTGGTCAGTGTTGGTCTTTTGACCATAATAAAATAAATTAATTCATTCCTCACATGTTTTTTAGCTGATCAGTTTTTGTCAAGTATTATAAAAGACAAATGCTTTCAAAATAGGAATAGTTTTTCAAAAAGTATTAGAATTAGTATGCTTGGTTTATGTTCCTGATTTATGTTAAATTCATAACATTAAGTAAATTTTGGAATTCACTTGTATAATATGCAATGATTCAGATGTTTAAATAAAGCATAATTTTGCATGTATCCAAGATTTATGAATGCACCTTTATTTTTCTCTTTATATTCTTCATTTAAGAGAATTTTGTAAGTCTTTTTAACGTATCTATATTATTTGGATTGTCTTCATTGATATAATAATATAAATGTTTTAAAACTTTAAAGGGGGATTTGTTTTCTCTGTAACTTCACCATTTCAATGGGTCACAGTTAAGTAATCACTTGGATCCTACATTGATTCTCATTCACTTGAAGGTGAGGTGATTACTACCACTTCTGTCTACATATAAAGGCCGCTCACATAATTCTGAAGTATCCATTAAGCCTGAGCAGAGGTGTCCTAGGGGGTTAAGATACTACCAAGGGAAGGAGAAGATGGAGAAGCCCTCTTCCCTAAATTTGAATTCTGCTTTGTATATGGAATAAGTTAAGATCAAACTGAATGTTAGCAACTGAGAGTGAAAAATTATTAAAATAATTTTTATTATTTAAAATAATATTTAATCTTTGTTCTCTCTCCTCACCCAGCTATGTATGCCTAAGGGCCTATCTTTCAAGACACAAGCTGATGCCAGAGAACCTCAGTTCCATTCATTTATCATTACCCGTGAAGATGGCTCACGGACATTTGGATTTTCTTTAACATTTTATGAGGAAGTTACCAGTAAACAAATTTGTAGTGCAATGCAGACTTTGTATCACATGCACAATGCAGAATGTGATTTTCTTCATACTCCACCACCAAATGACAAAGAAAACTGTAGCACCATAGAAGACTGTAATGGCTCCTCTCTATCAAAATTACAACGATTTAACTCATATGATATAAGTAGAGACACTCTCTATGTATCAAAGTGCATATGTCTGATAACACCAATGTCTTTCATGACGGCATGTAGGAAAGTGCTTGAGCAACTCCACCAAGCAGTAACTTCACCTCAGCCACCACCATTACCTTTGGAAAGCTTTATCTACAATATACTGTATGAAGTTCCTCTCCCTCCAGCAGGGAGATCCTTAAAATTTTCAGGAGTCTATGGATCAATTGTCTGCCAGAGGCCAAGCACCAATGAATTGCCATTATTTGACTTTCCAGCTAAAGAAGTTTTTGAGTTACTTGGAGTGGAGAATACAGTCCAACTCTTCACTTGTGCTCTTTTGGAATTTCAGATACTGCTTTATTCACAACGTGAGTATAACTTTAAAAAAAGGGCTAACAAGGATTCAATTTCAGTAGAAGTTTCAGTGGAAAAGTAAATGTTAAGCATCTCTAAAACTGCCTCACCCAGTGGGAGAAGTTAGAGCCAAAAGTACTGAACTAAGTATATTAAAAGCTGTGTTTAAGCATGAACTGTACTGGTGGTGGTTTGGCCCTGGATAGGCTATTAGGCCAGATATGAAAAAAAAAGTTTTAATCTTATAGAATGGAGATTTGCCCTTGATTCAAATCAGTTTCTTATGTTACAGTATGGCTGTATGAGTTCTCCTCTGCTTGTTTTAGAATCCTATGGAAAGGAGGGAATGCCCTCCTTTGAGTATCCAATGCAACCTAAGACTCACTGTTATTGGTTTATTGCTTGCCTTGCTCTATGGTGAAGCAGCTGAGCCATCCCTGCTGTCAGAGATCTTGGTTTGTTTTTGTCCCAAATTTTAGTAATAGCACTTTTTTGAAAAGCACTTGTATCTTTGTTTTCTCTGGCAATAGCTGTTTCCTGTTGGGCAGAGGTAGGTGGTTCCAGATAAATAAGCAGGATGTAGCTTCTTTCAAAAGCTAAATGTTGTGTCTGATAAGCAAGTCAAAGATGGATTATGTGTGTTTCTCTGTTATTTCTTCATATTGTCCATACTGGAATCCTATTTAATTCCTTACTTTTTTTCTGAAAATAAAAGTATGAATTGCAGATACAGCATTAATTGACTTTTAAAAGATACGAATGATGGCCAAAGTATACAAGAATGAAAATAGCCTCAATTCATATGTGCATGGTACATTAGGTTGCAAGTATACAGTTGTACAATGTGTTTGTTCATCTTGATTAATCCTCAGATATGAAGTTATTTGACCATAATACTATTGTTGAGCACACCTAAAAACCCGATGCTGATATCCAGCATGCAAGTATGTTGGGAGGTACTGAGCTGCTGCTGAGCTCTGCCACTGCACCAAGGAATGTGTGGGATTACCAAAGTTGGCAAAAATGGCAAAAGACTTTTCCAGTTAAAATAGTTGTGGAAGTCTCAGAGCCATCTAAAAATACTATGACATCACTAGTAAAGAAAGTAATTTCCAATCTCATCATGCACATTGGCTAAAATAATGTTTGGTAATTTTCTGAATAACAAACAGAAACATGCTAAACAAATAATAAAATAAACTGAATTGAAGATGGAGCTGACTTAAATAAAAATGCATGCCCAATTCAGGCATTTACATATATTTACGTCTTGCCACCTTGACATTTTATCTGGCCCATTCCATTCAGCCCATGCATGCGCACAGGGGGGCTGGGGGCTGGATGTGTGGATGTCTGTGTGGGCAGTCAGGAGGGTGCGGGGCATCTAGGGGGCATTCATGTGGGGTGCCTTGCGAGCAGGTGGGTGTCCGTATGTGTGTGGGTGCATGCATGTAGCTGCAATAGGAAGGATACTCGTGCATCTTCCTTTGACCCTCCAAAATGTTGAAAATATACAATGTGGCCCTCACCCTCAAAAGTTTGGAGTCCCCTGCTCTAGAGCCTTGTTCTGTCCGAAACAGTATGCTGTGTGGGAAGACATCCTATGATCCATGGCTGGAGACATATTTTTGCCACACAGATAGAATTCTTAAATGTATGTGTTTTGCATTGAAATGATGAGAGCTTGATGTTCTAGAGGACTCACACCTAGGTTTAACCAAGCAACCTAGAAGGCAGATTTTTTCCCCTCACAATATTATGTTGGCAAAAATACAAGTATTCTGTAGAACCAGACCTAGTATCATCATCATGTTCCAGGGCATTCTACACATGCGCAAGTGGGGAAGATGAGGATAGGCTGCACAACCAACAGAAAGTCTATTTTTGGCTTTGTATCTGGCTTTTCAAACACATTTATTCTTTCAGGCCCCTGTTACCAATAATGTATGCTGCATCCAGCCTAATTCCATTAACTGGAGTGGTTAGTATTTTTATTTGTCCAACCATGCTGGACTTAATACTTACTAACAGGGAGGAGATAGTTGAGGGAGTGGAAATTGTAGGAACTTTAGGAGAAAACTACAATGCCATATTAGAACTCACCATCATGTAGGCAAGGGTAACTGTACCAAGTCAGACTAATGTTCTAGATTTTAAGAGAGCTGACTTTAACAAACTAAGAGATGCAATAGGAAGTATTCCATGGATGGAAATCCTAAAGGGAAAAGCAGTTCAGGATGCTTGGGAAACACTGAATGGTGAGATAATAAAGGCCCAAACCGAAACAATACCACAGAAAAAGAAAAACAAGAGACATCTGACAAGACCAGTGTGGATGCACACAGAGCTCTCTGACAAGCTAAGGGACAAAAAGGATAAGTATAAAAAACTGAAAAAGGGGCTCATAACTAGAACACAATACCAGCAAATAGTTCAAATCTGCAAGAATGGAGTCAGGAAGGCTAAGACTCAGAATGAGCCAAGACTTGCAACAAAGGCCAAAAATAACAAAAAAGTTTACAGTGGTGCTTCACTTAACGACGATAATCCATTCCAGGAAAATCACTGTTAAGCGAAAACATTATAAAGTGAAAATAAAAACCCCATTGAAACGCATTGAAACCCATTCAATGCGTTCCAATGGGGTAAAAACTCACCGTCCAGTGAAGATACTTCATACAGCGGCCATTTTCGCGGCCTGTATAGCGAGGAATCCGTCCCTAAACACAGTGGGGAGCCATTTCAATCACCTGGTGGCCATTTTGAAGCCGCCGATCAGCTGTTCAAAAAACGTCGTTTTGTGAAGAATCGGTTCCCGAAGCAGGGAACCGATCATTGCAAAGTGAAATTCCCCCATTCAGACCATCGTTTTGCGATCGCAATTGCGATCGCAAAAAGATCGTTGTTAAGCATATTCGTCATAATGTGGGGCAATCGTAAAGCGAGGCACCACTGTATTTCAACACATAAGGAGCAAGAGGAAAGTCAAGGAAATGGTTGGTCCACTAGTGGCGGAAGATGACAAGAAGGGAACACCTAGCTGCTTTGAATGAGTTCAAACTGGATGGTTTACGTCCCAGGGTTCTAAAAGAACTGGCAGATGTGATCTTGGAACCACCAAATTAAATCTTTGAGAGGTCCTGGTGCCCGGGCAAACTGCCAGAGGACTGGAAAAGATGTGGTTCCAATCTTCAAAAAAAGGGGGGGGGGAAGTGGATCCAGGAAATTACAGACCTATCAGCTTGACATCAATACCTGGGAAAATCCTGGAAAAAAAATCAAGCAGCAGATTTGTGACACCTGGAAAATAACAAGGTGATTACTAGAAGCCACCATGGGTTTGTTAAGAACAGGTCATGCCAAACAAATTTTCTTACCTACTTTGATAAAGTGACTAAATTAGTGGACCAGGGAAATGCAGTGGATATAGTATACTTAGACTTCAGGAATGCATTTGATAAGGTAGACCACAACCTACTTCTGCGTAAGATAGAACGAAGTGGGATAGACAGAAAAACTACCAGATGGATTTGCAGCTGGCGGACCAACTATACTCAACGCATGGTCCTCAATGGAACCACGTCTATGTGGAGGGAAGTGTGCAGTGGGGTCCCTCACGGTTCTGTCTTGGGCCCAGTGCTCTTCAACATCTTCATCAATGACCTGGATGAGGGGATTGAAGGAGCACTCATGAAATTTGCTGATGACACACAACTGGGGGGGAATTGCTAATACTTTGGAAGATAGACTCAACATTCAGAAGGATCTAGACAGACTTGTACATTATCCAATAATATGCAGTTCAGTGGCAGGAAAAGTGAGTTCCTGCAATTAGGCAGGAGAAACCAGATGCACAGGTACAAGACAGGTGGTACCTGGCTTGACAGTAGTACCTGTGAGAGGGATTTAGGGGTCCCACTTAAGGATGAGTCAGCAGTGTGTTGCAGCTGTCAAGAAAGCCAACACAGTCCTAGGATGAATCAACAGGGGGATAGCATCAAGATCACAGGAAGTGATAGTACCACTTTATACCATGCTGGTGAGGGCGCACTTGGAGTGCTGTGTTTAGTTCTGGTCACCACAATACAAAAAAGATGCTGAGGCCCTGGAAGGGGGTGCAGACAAGAGCAACAAAGATGTTAAGGGGAGGGTAAATCCTATGAAGAAGAGCTAAGATAATTAGGTATGTTTAGCTTAACAAAGAAAAGACTGAGGGGAGATATGATAGCAGTCTTCCAATATCTGAAGGGTTGCCACAGGGAAGAGAGCATTGATTTATTCTCATTTGCGCCTGAGGGTAGGACAAGGAGCAATGGGTGGAAACTCATCAGAGGGAGATTCAACCTGGAAATAAGAGGAATTTCCTGATTTCCTTTTTTTAAAAGTATTTTTTTAAAAACACTACAAAGCAGACAAAATAGAAAACACCAAAGCACCAACCACTACAAACAGACAAACACAACAAAAACCATTACTGACTAAAACAAACCCTCCCCTCTTTTGGGTCAGAGATTCCAACATCATTTTGGATCTTGGATTATTCCAATTGATTTCCAGTGAGCACTGAGTACACAAAATACAGAATTTTGCCTAAACTCCTGTCTTAGTACACAGAATACAGAATTTTGCCTAAACTCCTGTCTTTTTCTGGGCCCAAAAATATATTAATTTCCAGGTTTGTTTTACATAGTCTTTTGTTTATTCCTGCAACGCTTCTGAAAGTGTAACAGTTCTGCTGTGTCCCATAACTTCTTTAGCAACTCCTCTATCATTGGTATTTCTTCACTTTTCCATTTCTGGACCCAGAGTAGCCTGGCTGCTGTGAGTATGTACATTAGACAGCATTTTAATTTCTTATCAATAATTTATGGCATAATATTCAGTAATGCTATTTCAGGTTTGATATTTAATTTTTGTTGAGTAATTTCTATTACTATTTCCCACACCTGTGTCCAGTATCTTTTGACTCTTCGCATGAGCACCACAGATGATAATAAGTACCTGTATTTTTTTACACTTTCAGCAAACATTGCTGTTACCCTCTGATATTTTTCCCAATCTTACAGGTGTATAGAGCTATCTATAAAACATTTTGAGGATATTTTCCCTAAGATTTACTGGCTTAATCATCTTATGGGACTCTTTCTACATCTTTGTCCAATCATCAATATTAATATTATGTCCAAAGTTACTTGCCCATTTTACCATCATCTCCTTCACCCTCTCATCCTCCATGTCATACTCTAATAAGTATATGCACATTTTTATTGTTTTCTCATCAGTATATATCCACAGTTTGTCCACTTGAACTTTACCCTCAAAGAAACCCAGTTTTATCTTTTATATATATCGATTCAAGTTTCAAATTTGACCACCAATCAGAGGCCACACCCAATTCCTCTAGCTCTTGCTTATCCTTTATATTCTGTTCTTTAGTAAGCAGTTCTTTATATGTGATTAACACTCCTTTCTGGTTCAGCACTTTCAATGTAAATGCCTCTATAGGAGGAAATAAGCAGGAATTTCCTGACAGTGAGGACCATTAAGCAGTGGAACAGCTTGCCTCCCGATATTGTGGGTCCCTTATTGCTGGAGATTTTCAAGAAAAGATTGGACAGCCATCTGTCCGGGATAGTATGAGGTCTGGGATGGTATGAGGTCTCTTGCCTTGGGCAGGGGGTTGTCCTCTGAAGATGCTGGCCACAGAGACTGGTGAAATGTTAGGAAGAACAACCTTCAGAACATGGCCAAAGAGCCCGAGAAACCCACAACAACCATTAGATCCTGGCCGTGAAAGCCTTCGTGAATAAATCCATCTCATATTTGGTCATCTTCTTTTCCTGCTGTCTTAAACTTTTCCTAACATCAGTGTCTCTGTGTGATATTTTTAAAATTTGTATACTGTAATCCAGTACTGTACTGCAGTGCCAGTGCTATATAATTTCTTTTTTAACTCTCCCCCTGAATCTTTGTATTACCAAAGAAAATAATTCTGGAAGATTTTGTAGCCTCTTGGTACATATTTTTGAGATGTACAGGGAAGGGAGATTAACCCCTCCTAACTCCACTGATGGAAGCAGATCTATCAACAGATACCTTCTTTTGGCTTTTGGCCTAATTGTCCACACTGAAACTTTTAACAACTAGTAGTTTTTGAATCTGTATGTGTAATGCTGGGCTGGTGAATCTGTGGGCCTATTATTGGACTCAAATTCCTATCCGTTTTATTCAGCCTAGGAAATGGTGAGACATGTGGGTATAACAATTAATCAAATCTGGAAGATTCTTTTTCCCCTCATCCTTGGTATGATACTTTGTATTTGTTGCTGATACACTGTGACCAGAATCCTGTTGTACAACTTTACCCCTTGCAATTGTGATGACACCATCAACTATGAATGAAGGTTCTAGTTTTGTATTTATTATACTTTTATGATGGTTTTCAACAAAGTTCTTTTACTAATTGATTTTCTGTTTTCTAGATTATCAGAGACTGATGACTGTTGCTGAGACAATCACAGCACTGATGTTTCCATTCCAGTGGCAGCATGTATATGTTCCCATCCTTCCAGCCTCTCTCTTGCATTTTCTTGATGCTCCTGTCCCTTATCTAATGGGCTTGCACTCTAATGGTCTAGATGACCGGTCAAAGCTAGAGCTCCCCCAAGAGGTGAGAAGTTCAGCAGTGGGTTTCACTGTTGCTGAACACAGTTACAAAGGAGATTAGTTTTAAGTAGGATACTTCAAGGGCTCTTATTGTAACATTTTACAGACTTCCATGGATAGTCCTAGTGATACTGTGTTCTATTTGTAATCCCCCCCATATCTTTTTTTCAACAGTTTTTCTTTTCCTCCTTAACAGTCTGCTGTGGTAAGGAAAAAAAAAAGTAACAACTGCCCACCCATTGGTTCTTAACTAGTATGTCTCAGAAACATCTGTCTGAAATATTTTAAGGAGTCTTGTATGCTGCTTTATTTGGTCTGGGGTAGATTTGGTAAATGAATGAAATTGTTTAGAGAATTATTGCCATCCTATTTAAAGCTTGTCACAACTATAACTATAACTAAGAACTTGCTTTATACTACTTATCAGAATGTTAAATCTTTACCTAGCACCAGACATAGTTTAAGCTAAACTCTTGAAATTCTGATTTAGTTCTAGAGTTTAATTTCACCAGTGGAACTATCCCCAAATAAAAGTGATGTTGGTGCCCCAAGCACCACCACTCAGTGTCCCAGAACATTTTCAGACCAACAAAGTAGGTTTGGAGGGGGAGGCATAGGAGACTGGATGCAGAGAAGACCATTAGCAAAAATCACTACTTTCCCCTATCAAGCAATGGATGAGAAGGCTCTTAATAATGGAAGGAATGCTTCCTTCAGTGGCAGACTTTGCTGAGTTCAGCCTGGTCACCTGAAGACACCCTTCTTATCTACAGATTTTTGTCTACAACTGCCCTCTATGAGAGGAACATTGGAAATCAATTATGAAATCATAGCTAGCTATGTTATTTTGGCGGTAAAGAGAGAATACCAACATTTCTTTGCCTCCCAAAATAACAACTGAAAAGACAGTTATTTCACACACACACACCAATATGATGAGAGTCATGTACCTCTTTAATTAGGGAGGCTTAAAATGCTTTTGGTAGTAATTGTGAAGCGGTGTTTTTTTTAATGACTGTATTGTTCCAAATGTTAGGCCATTCTCCTAACTTTTTAGATCTTTTTTTTCCATAAAAGGATAACATATACCTTCAAAAGTAGCACTCCAAAGCAAAGAATTACTAGGGAAGGAAATACAGTGGTGCCTTGAGCTGCCAACTTAATTCGTTCCGGATGATGGTTGTAACTCAAGTTGGTTGTAACTTGAGTTACACCATTTCCCATAGGAATACATCGAAAAGCGATTAATCCGTTCCAGCCATTTTTTGGTTGTATCTCAAGGCACTGATGGTATCTCAAAGCATTAGTTCCTATACGAACCAATGCAAAAGCAGTTAATCTGTCCACTACCAATAGGGGAAGACTTTTTTTAAACCTAAAGTGACGTCTAAGGTTAAAAAAAGGACAAGAAATGAGGGAGGGAGGGAACAATGGGGAAAAGAGGCCCTTTTCCGGTTGTATCTGAAAGCGCTGGTTGCAAGTTAAAGCAAAATGTTGCGACTGGAGCTGGTTGTAACTCAAATTGGTTGCAAGTCAAGATGGTTGTAAGTTGAGGCACCACTGTAGTGGAAAGCTTCTAATGAATTAGATAACTTGAGTTCATTGGAGGAATGGTGGGATATAATGTAGCTAATACCTGGATGAATAAAAGAATTAATTATTAAAACTTTCAAAGCTCTGAATATTATCTTGATTGGAATGTTACTATTCACAAAAATGAAACAGAACCCTATGTCTGGAAAATTCTCACATGTGTGCATGCATTTTTCACAAGGAGTAGCTACACATATAGAGGATGCTAGCCTCTTTAGAGTGTCAGAGCAACAAGAGTTACCTTGTTCATTCAAATATTCAGGTAAACATAACCTGAACCACTTGAATATGGTTTAGGCAAGAATGAAATATATAGATCCAGGTTATAGTTATATGCTTTGAATTTCTTGGAATTCTTATTTTAGTAGGAATTGGGAGTATCAATGCTTATTCTGCTTATCCTAAGCAACCTTTCAATAAATGCATACTGCTTTCCATCCTATTGAAAATGGAACTGAAAGGAAAAGGAAGTATATATTTCCTTTTTATCCATTATGACCAAACATTATGCTATAGTACAAGTACCAAAGAACAGTTGATCTGGGAATGAAGAAAGCATTTGAGAAGTAAGGCTCTGTCATATCAGTGGAGCTTACATCTCTATAATTATGCAGTGAATTGTACTTTTAATCCTCTCCAGTTAGATGGCTTTCCAGATTCTGATTCAGATTCTAGTATGTCAGTTTTATGCAGTGAAGTAACATTGTTATATAAATCTCTGTTTGTTATTGCACCTAACTTGCCTGTACACTGGTCAAAAAAAAAAAAAAAGCAGACATATTGCATACATAATACTTCTAGAAGTTTGCATTCTGTTCCTGATTACTCATGCCTCTCTGGACTTTAATCCCCAGGCAAATTTATGCTTCGTGGATATAGACAACCACTATATTGAATTGCCAGAAGATTTGCCTCAATTTCCAAATAAACTTGAATTCATTCAGGAGATCTCAGAAGTCCTTATGACTTTTGGGATTCCACCTGAGGGAAACTTACATTGCAGTGAAAGTGCCTCTAAGATGAAAAGCCTCAGGACATGTGATATAGTCTCTGATAAGAGAAATGGGAACGTAGGAGGACCAACTTTAAATTCATATGAACTACTGAAAGAAAATGAAACCATAGCAAGACTCCAAGCACTTGTAAAAAGAACAGGTGTGAGCCTCGAAAAAGTAAGTAATGTAATACCTGTGGGAGCTTAATAAAGGAATAGTGCATTATTTGGGGATATTGCATTATTTGGGGATTTTATTCTGAATTGGCAGTTCTCCTTAAAGTAGAAATACTGTAGATGATACAGACTGTAGTTACGATTGAAAACACGTCAGGGTGCAACTACACAATGGTAAAAATGTGAATACTGTAGAGCCTCTGTGAAGTTCCACCTTGGAAGTCAGATTTACCTGGGTGAATTAACTGTAGTCAAGTACACATGAATAAGCAGAGAGAAGGAGGAGAAGATTGGCAGTCAGCCTTGTTCATAGCTTGTTAAGCTAGCTCTGCTGTGGGTGTCCACATTTGGAGGAGGCATGGCTACAACAGAGCTATGTTAATTTGCTGCACAGAAGTGCTGATTAGCAATTTCCTCCTCACTTTCTGCTCACTCTTCTTCCCCCTCTCCCCTGTTAGTTTCCTGGGTTCCTAGGACAATGGCACCAAGCTTAAAAAAAAACAGGAAGGGAAGGAAAGCGAAGAGGAAAACAAGCAGAGATAGGCACCAGATTTGGGGGAGAGATAACTCAAATGGTGGCCAGTTTCCCATCTGAATGGGCCAGTTGCCCTGCCTCACTGCTGCTGTAGCCAGGTGGAATAGAGTGAAATAAAACATCTCTAAATATATCTATAGAGGGATCAAACTGTATGCATCAGCACAAGTGATCACACTGCCTGAGCCAATGCAAATACATTTACTGCAAAAAGGGGTGGGGGGAGAAGCCTCAGTGATGGAAGAAAAAAAGTTCAGATTAGAGAGGGAAACTCTGGGATTATTTACATTGAGTTGTATATTTTATAGTCAACAGAAAACAATATGACTGTGACTGTCCGAATCCTGGAACAATTCCTGTGTTATTTGCCAATGTAGTAATACCCTGACTGTTGGAAATATGTAATTAGGATACAATTGGTTGTATGACATATGGCTAACAAAAAGCAAAAACTCTTTAATGCTGCATTTCACAATAAGATTTTCTAGTCTAACATCATCACGAAATCTCTAAATTACTGTTTAAAAATCAACAAAGAATGACATTGCATGAAATAATTCTCAAGGGTAATAATTCCAAGCTTGTGTATGATTACTTACATTAGATGTTATTGTACTGCACCAGATCCTGTGGAGTCATCTAGTAATGAGACAAGGATATTCTTTTCCTGCCTCCATAAGTGTAGTGTTGTAGGGCTTTTATTTATATAGGAGTAGACATGTTGTTAAATAGAATATTTTTGTCCAGAAATTTTATATAATATGGAGGTTTAAATGCTTTGTTTGTAAAAAAAGTTTTTCTTGAAAAATAGTTTACTCATCATGCACTAGTAGTATAATATACTCATCCTTTTTCACTCAGATGTTGTTCCTATGTTAATTTATACTTTGTCTCATGATATGGTACAACACCATTCTGCATAAGCATTTATAATTTCACCAAATCTTTGTTGTTTATATGACCAGGGTTTCTGACAGCTTTGACCCCTTGTAAGTCAAATGCAGAATAAATTACCAAGACACATTCTTTCCCCACCCCACTCCCAGGTTGAAGTTCGAGAGGAGAGTGGCAACAAGAAGGATCTAAAAGTGCAATGTGATGAAGAAGAATTTAAGGTTTACCAGCTCAACATTCAAGTGCGAGAAGTTTTTGCTAATCGTTTTACACAAATGTTTGCAGATTATGAAGTATTTGTTATTCAGCCCAACCAGGACAAAGAGTCATGGTTTACTAACAGGGAGCAGATGCAGAATTTTGATAAGGTGAATATGGAAGGGGGGGAGACTATGGAAGGGGAGGTTTTCATGCAAGAAGGGGTAAGAAAAGTACTATATGTCCCTGGTAGAGATGGGAGCTTAGTATTCGTATATGAATAAGAAGCCCACCAGCACAGGTGGCCAGCTTGATTAACACCCACCCCCAGAACCCACCAGACCGCTTACCGTGTGGCTCGTGGCTTGCATCAGCTCCCCATGTGCTGCAGCAGCCTAGCTGCTGCAGTCCCATCTCCCTGATTGCCCAGTCACTCCATCAAGGGGGCAGGAGGACAAGTCTCCCTGCTCAGTCACGGAATGGCTGGCCCCTCTATTAGCCATATAATCTGGGCTTGATAGTAGTTACAGATGAACACACATGGAAAACAGGAGGTCTAATGCAGATAACACTGAGTTAGATTGACTAGTGATTTTACTCACTGTACAGCAGTTATCCAAGTTCCTAGTACAATATAACACTGAAGGACTTGTGCTAGAAAAAGTGAGAGAAAAACCCAGTTGTGCTACTATCATTAACACTGGTGACATTTATCACTGATAAGCAACAATTACTACAGATATTTAAATTGCACCTTTCTTTGTGGTTTTTAATCTCCTCTTCCACATTTATAACATTTTCAAAGAATTAAACATTTCTAGAGATTGTGTATACAGTATTGTGAGGAATATTATATTGTGAGGAACTTTCTAGTGTGAGGAATATATGAAATAGTATGCTAAAGTGTGCACTACTGATCTTCTGTTATTTATCTATTTACAAGACTTTAAACCAGAATTTGTCAGTCCTATTCTTAACATTATAGGCTTACAAAGACTACTATAAAAGTAATTTTTTCCTTTTGTAGATGAATAATCTGGATTGTTTGGTGAAAAATCCAAATAGCTAGTATATCTCTGATTCACCATGAAGTATGTATTAAAATATATGAGAAAAGGAGGGCATTTAAAATACAGTAAAACACTGGCAGAAAGTTCCTACTAGATTTCAGCCTTCAGTAATTTATGCTATGGATGCTGTTAATATATATATTTATTTTTGTTCTTTTCTTATGCTTTCTTTTTTTAAATTTTGGATCTAGAGCAGGGGTCTCCAAAATTTTTACTGTGAGGGCCACATCGGATATTTTCAAAGTTTTTGAGGGCCAAAGGAACGAATTTGTGGACATATACTCACACACACATGCACGCACTTGCCCCCTGCACACCTGCAACGCCCTGCAACGCCCCTGGCCTGCATGCACAGATATCTGCCTCCCTGCCCGCCACCCCACATGCATGGGCTGAGGGCAACAGGCCAGACAAAATGGCAACACAGGCCGTAGTTTGGAGACCCCTGATCTAGAGCGTTGAACCACCATATTGATGTATCACTATTGGAGTCATATGGGGTTCTGAGTTTTTAATTTGTATACCGGCCAGATTAATGTGTCCATTAAATCAGACAGACAGATAGATAGCTGCAACTCAAGGCCCCTTGAATCAATGGAATTTGTGGAGGAATTGACTTTTCAAATCCCCCTGATTCAGTGGGCCTACTCTAGTTGTGACTTACTACTGGATTTCAGCCATAATGTACTATAAAGATAATTCTGTAGATACTGAAAACAATAATCTCTTTCTAAATGATTTTTTTTATTTTGGGAAGAAATAAACAAATTTTCTTTCAATTTGTTAGGCCTCCTTCTTGTCTGACCAGCCTGAACCTTATTTGCCTTTCCTCTCAAGATTTTTGGAGACACAGATGTTTGCTTCTTTTATTGACAACAAGATAATGTGCCATGATGATGATGACAAAGATCCTGTTTTGAGAGTGTTTGATTCTAGAGTGGATAAAGTTAGACTGTTAAATGTTCGAACACCAACTTTGCGCACATCCATGTATCAAAAGTGCTGTTCCATCGATGAGGCTGGTAAGGGCTGTAAAATGGTTTTAAAGGGGGTGGTTTAATTTATCACTAGGATACCCAGTATGGTATAGTGGGTGGACTGATGGTGTAGGACTTGGGCATCCTGGATTCAAAACCCTGCCAGCCATGGAAGCTCACTTGGGGTGTGGAATTGGTAAAAACACTCCTTAAATATCTCACTTACTTTGAAAGGCCTGTTAACATCACTGTTAAGTCCATTCCAACTTGACAGCACATAACATAATTCATGATTGCTCATAAAATGGAATCTGTGTTCATTTATGAAGAAATAAAACTAGGTTCCAAAAAATGCAGCAGCACTGGTAATAAGAAATCTCACTGTTTCAGTTCAAATGGAAAGGAATTTGTAGTGACTGTCCTGAAAGGTAGCACTGGGCTGATACATTTTATCCAGCTGACTGCATGCAGATTAACCATATAAAGAGGAGTCTGCACTTCTTTACCCCTCTTGCACTCAGAGCAGGATGCATATTTATGATAACAGTCTTCTAATTTGTGTCTCAAATTGGTTTCTATGTTTCCTACTTAACTATCTAATATGAGTACATACTACACAAAAATACTTTTAAAGATGTACATGCAACTGTTTTGTTTTTCTTTAGAGAAAGCTATTGAGTTAAGGCTGGCCAAAATAGATCATACCGCAATCCATCCCCACTTACTTGATATGAAGATTGGACAAGGAAAATATGAACCTGGATTTTTCCCCAAGCTTCAGTCTGATGTCCTAGCTACAGGGCCAGCAAGCAACAAGTGAGTATGCTGCATTTGGAACATCCTGCATAAACTAAACTGAGTAATTTCAGGATGATATATCTTTAAAAGATTATGTCAGCAATGGTAAGTATGAGATGTGGCCCTTTGCCCTATTCCTCATGGACGTTTTAGAGGAAAGCAGTAATACTCACTTGCTGTGAGTTATCATACACAAAGAGTCCTCTCATTGACATTTGATCATACAGGCAACATACTCCTTTACCATTAACAGCCCTGTTGAGTTCTGTCAAGTTAAAAGCTGTGGCTTCCTTTATTAAGTCTATCTCCCATTACAACTTCCTTTTTCCAACGCCATTCTATTTTTCCTAATATATTTTATCTTCTCATGATATATTCAAAGTATGATTGCCTCAGCTTAATAATTTGAGTTTCTAGGGAGAGTTTATTTGATTTAGAACCCACTCATTTCTATTTTCTTGTGTGCCATGGTAACTGTTAACCTCTCCTCCAACCATACCTGGGACTTTTGTATTTTTTCCCCTACAGTCCCCAGAAGTCTGCTGGAATTCCCCTAGAATTCTGGGTGCTTGAGCCAAAAAATCTAAGTTGTGTCAGCCCAAAGTCTCCCGGCGCATTATGTTCTGTACAGGGTGCTTTTCAGGAAACTACCAGAACCTAATGCCTTGCAGCTTCCACAGATCATAGCTTCTTCAGCCATTTTCTCCATAGCTTTTTCCACCCATTTCCTCCATCTTCATGAAAGCTCATCATACCATATTTTTCTGTATATAAGACAATACTGTTCTCTAAAATATTTAGATTAAAAATGTAGGGTTGTCTTATACACAGAAGTAAGGAGGGGGGGAGGGATCAAAGTGCTTTGATCCCTGCTTTCCCTGTCCACTTTCTTGCAAAGAAAGTGGAGGGGAAAGCAGAATCATCAAAACGCTTTGATTCCTGCTTCCTGCTCCACTTTTTGCTAAGAAAGTGAAAAAAGAAAGCACTTTCAAAGCGCTTTGATGATTCCTGCTTCCCCCCTCCACTTTCCTCACAATAAAGTGCTTTCCCCCTCCACTTGTCTCACAAGAAAGTGCTTTCCCCTCCACTTTCCTCACAAGAAAGCACTTCCTTTCGAAAGTGCTTTCTTGTGAAGAAGGTGGAGGGGGAAAGCACTTTCCTTGCTAGAAAGTGGAGGGGGAAAGCAGGAATCAAAGCACTTTGATGATTCTTGCTTTCCCCCTCCACTTTCTTCCAAAGAAAGAAAATCTGAGTTAGAAAAGTGGGGGTGGGGTGGGCGTCTTATATGTGGGGGCATATTATACATGGAAAAATACGGTAATCAAGATGGTGCCCTTATTGCGCAACTGTAAGTGATTAAAAACACCTGAGAGAACTTTGATTTTTTAAAAATTAAAGCACCTAAAATTCTGGCTGGGAGGATTTCTGATAAATTCTGGGTCTGTAGGCCATAAATATGAGAATTTAATGCCTGCCTCCAACACCATATTTAACGTGGTTGAATTGTATATTATACCATTTATGAAAGTTCTTACTAGAAATACTTTTGGTTACAGTTCAGGATGAACATGCCTGCTTTTATTTTAGTTTCTGGTGTAGTATACCTAAGAACACCAATATTGATTTTCTAGATGGACCAAGCGAAATGCACCTGCACAATGGAGACGGAAAGACAGACAGAAGCAGCACACAGAACATCTTCGTCTTGACAATGATCAGAGAGAGGTGAAGCTGTTCTGTAACCAATGTTTAATGCTTGTCTTTTCCAATGGTGATGATGTAGATTAACTCAGTTCTCAGGGTTCCCCCCCCCATGTTCCTGTACATCAGATTATTATTACTTATTGAGAAAATACTGATCGTCATTTGGACTAATTCAGAGGTGTCCTGTACAGCAGAAAACCAAATGTGTTAGTGTTCACTACTATAAAATTGAGAGAAGAAACTGCTGTGTTTTAGAAAGTGCAGAAACTTGTGGCAGGGGGATGTTTGTTTCCGGAAAAACAAAATAGGGTATTCTGGCATCTTAAAGGCTAGTTAATTTTATCTAGCATAAGCTTTTCTGGACTACAGCCCATGTTACCAGCAAGGCTCTTCATTGTTTTTACTGGAAAACGAAAACATATAAAAATAATAAGCTGAGTAACTTTTATCTTCCTTTTTAAATTTTTTGAGCACTTGTATCTTGATGCATGAATTTTATTCATTTCTGTTTACATTTGTAAACTATAAATTTTGTTATATCACTATGCATAACTATCTTTTGAAAGTCACACATTGTCTTAAGTGGCCTCTATCCTACGTTTGCATCTATGATGTCATGCTTGCCTATCATGCTTTCATCTAACGTGAGCTGTTTTGATTTTTGGTTTGTTCTTTTTGTTTTGCTGTCTCTCCTGTCTTGCCAGCGGCTGGATTTCCCTTTGCCTGAGCTTCAGTTGCAATTATGTTTAGTCTTGGACCAGCATGATTGGCCTTTCAGGCACTCTGTTAAATCTGTTTCAGAGCTTTATCTGGTATGTTGTGTTTGTGTATGTACGTAGGTACATACACATGGTATGTATGTGTATCTGTTTACCCATAATACTGAATGGGTTGGAAAAGCCCTTTGTTTGAAACAGCACAGCCCTTCACCACAGTTACACAAATGGTAGTTGAACAGGTTTCTTCATCCTTTCTGAGTGAAGCCATGGCCCTTGGGGCCCTACATATTTCCACTGCCCTAGTGTGGTTCTACAGCTTCTTGAAGGAGGAATCTGTCCCCTTTGTACGTGTCAGAAGAAAGGGTTTGCCACAGCAGCGAGGAAGCAGCCCTATAATTTCAGCCTTCAGACTGCTCCCCGCTGACAGCTTCAGAGTCTATTTATTGAAGACTAGCCTGGTCTGGTTAGGGAGCAACCAAAGATAATACCACAGCTTTCAGATGCATACCTACTTTAAATTAATTTATAGATATATTTAAAAAGAACTAAATACCAAGGACACATCCCTAGTGTCCCATTGGTGTATATACCATGTTTCTAGTATATAGGTTTTATAGATCAGACATCCTCAAACATACATCCTCTTTTTTATCATTATTCTTAAATAGACAGCCGAAAATATAACTTTATCTACAGTACTAAATACATAGTTCAATATGTATTTTAGACTCTGGATTTTAGATCTTTCCTTCTGTGAAGGTTAAAAAATGTGTATGCTCAGTTCAAAATCATTTTATTTAGCATAAAACCCCAGGTCATCTTGCTGCTGTGCGATTTCAAATATACTGCAAATATATTGCAAATAACACATTAAATAATTAGAAAATAATTATAATAGGCATTATAAGAGTATGTTTATATTAATGGAATAAAATACACATATTTTGTAGTGTAATAATAGTAGCTAGGCTTTTTAAATGGTAGCTGAAATTCACTAATTTTATAGAAAGCATCTGTTTATGGTGATCTTGACTTAGCTTTGTTTTATGAGTTTGAATTTATCTGGCAAAACAGCAAAATGTAAACATGCTTTAACTCTCTTAAAAGTTGTATTTGTGTATACATTTCTGTTTCCCTGTCTTTTTGCAGAAGTATATTCAAGAAGCTCGGAATCTGGGGAGCACTATCAGGCAACCCAAACTATCTAATCTTTCACCATCAGTAATTGCTCAGACCAACTGGAAATTTGTTGAAGGTCTGCTGAAGGAATGCCGGAATAAGGTATTTTAAATTTAATTTTCTTATTTTTCCAGCTGCAGCTGATATTTTTGGATCTCAAAGGATTTTAATTAGGTGGGACAGTATAGAAAGCTCTCTATTACTCTAAAAGTGCCTTGATGATACATTATTTAGAAATAGAGAGGGTAATGCCACATACAGTATTTTTCTGTCTATAAAACAACACTTTTCCTTAAATAATTAGACAAAAATGAAGGATACTTTTATAAATGGAAGGCGGCTGCTTTTCCCTGCCTTTTGCAAAGCCTAATAAATCTCACTTTATTTTGGCTCACTGGATTTCATTCGAATCCCACACCGCTGCTCACCACTTTATGTCACACACCCCCAGTTCCCCTGTTTGTTCTACAACACAACCCGGGTTCACTTTCAGGTATGACATTTACTTTTCAACCCTTTCCACTGCCACCAGCGGAGTTATTCGCCACTATATCAAATATGACGCTTAAATCAGTGTTATTCAATAAAACAATCTTTATTTATGTGTTTATCAGTAAATCATGTAAAGTGAATCATGGATGGTCTTATTTTATTCATTCAATAATCTGTGCTTTTAGAACATTTATATTTGCTTATGTATAGTCATGTTAATCAAGGTATTTATTCATTTCTTATCTTGTTCTCTATTTCTCTATTCTTCTCTAACACAAGACTGGTCCTAACTGCCTAAACTGCTTCTCTCTAACTGATGTCTCTAACTGAAGCCCCTGACTCTAACTCATATCCCTAACTCAAACTCTAACTCTTCCCTAACTGATCTTTAACTGTCTTCCATTTCTCTTATATATCCTTAGTTCCGCCTCTTCTGTACAAGCATTGGCTCCTGAATCAGGGTTCCATTGTGATGGACAGGAGTGGTTCCTGACCTGTCCGTCACAACTATCATTGGATAGGTTTTGGTACATGCTTTAGAAATATTATTCAGCAATTATATTTGGAGAATATTGCGGCAGTTTTAGTAAATGATAGTACAACAGAAACAATACTATTTACCTTGATAATATAATTATTAGCAAACACAGTTAGAGAAGATACTGAAATAAAAGGAATTTAGAATAAAGATACAATTAATTTGAATTTATTTGCAGATGATATATTAAATAATTAAAGATCCAATGAATTATATAGAAAATGTTAAATTGCATTTAAAAGCCTTTGAAGAAGTAACAGGGCTAAGAGGAAAATGGAGTAAATCAGAATTTATGCTAGCCAATCATGATAATGAAGAGAGAAGTAAACTAAAAGAGAAATTTGAGGATAATTTAAAAAACCCCCACAGTATTTGGTATTTCTCCTTCCGGATTGCTACCTTGTCGTGGCGAAGGGACTTAAGTAATTCAGAAAACTTATGGGCTATGCCATGCAGGGATACCCAAGACGGACAGGTCACAGTGGAGTGTTCTGACTAAATGCGATCCATGTGGAGCAGGATGGCAAGCCACTCCAGTATCTTTGCCAAGAAAACTCCATGGACAGAAAAAAAGGCTAAAAAATATGATGCTGCAAGATGAGCTTCTCAGGTCGGAAGGCGTCCCACATGATACTGAGGAAGAGCAGAGGAGAAGTACAAGTAGCTCCAGAGCTAATGAAGTGGTTGTGCCAAAGCCAAAAGGACGCTCAGCTGCGGACACGCCTGGAAGTGAAAGTCCGATGCTGCTGCAGTATATATATATATACTGCATAGGAACATGGAATGTAAGATCTATGAACATTGGTAAGCTGGATGTGGTCAAACAGGAGATGGCAAGAAAAAACATTGACATCCTGGGCATCAGTGGACTAAAATGGACGGGAATGGGCAAATTCAATTCAGACGATTATCATATCTACTATTGTGGGCAAGAATCGCGTAGAAGGAACGGAGTAGCCCTCATAGTCACAGTAATCCAAGTTTATGCACCAACCACTGATGCTGAAGGGACTGAAATTGGCCAATTCTATGAAGACTTACAACACCTTCTAGAAATGACAGCAAAGTGACACCCCTATCTCATTCTAGGGGACTGGAATGCTAAAGTAGGGAGTCAAGAGATAAAAGAAACAACAGGGAAGTTTGGCCTTGGAGTTCAAAACGAAGCAGGGTAAAGGCTAATAGAGTTTTGTCAAGAGAACAAGCTGGTCATCACACTCTTTTCCAACAACACAAGAGGCGACTCTACACATGGACATCACCAGATGGGCAATACCGAAATCAGATTGATTATATTCTCTGCAGGCAAAGATGGAGAAGCTTTATACAGTCAGCAAAAACAAGACCTGGAGCTGATTGTGGCTCTGATCATCAGCTTCTTATAGCAAAACTCAATCATAAACTGAAGAAAGTAGGAAAAACCACTGGGTTAGTCAGGTATAATCTAAACCAAATTCCTTGTGAATACACAGTGGAAGTGAA